TTTAGGCAGATTCTAACAATGTTATTCTGATTTATTATTAGGTTAATTATAATATTGTCTCGAAGGCCACCCCATACTAATAAACCGTACTGGAAATTCGATTGGTATAGAGCAAAATAAACTAATCTCATAGTTTGTTTTGGAACTATTTTTTTTAGTTTGAACATATTATAGGTTATGAAGCGTAGTTTTCCTAATAGATTGTTGACATGTAAGTTCCATTTCAAGTGATTATCAATGATTAATCCTAAATATCTTATTTTTATAACTTTATTAATTTGCTTACAGTTAATTGAGTTACAGTTCTTGTTATTAGAACATTCGTGTATTGAAATGGAGCTAATAGTAGAATCAGAATTGTTAATAGAGAACGGAATAAACACTGTTTTTTCTATGTTTAGGGATAGATTTCTTTCTTTCGATGTTTTTAATATTTTACGAAAGCCAGTTACAGATTTTTCATAAACACCTTCCCATGTATTATGCGAGAAAAGCAGACAGGTATCATCCGCATATGTTACTATTGAGTCCTCAATGTTGAGATCGCAAATTTCATTTATATATAAAATGAATAAGATAGGGCCCAAAATACTACCCTGAGGTACTCCATATTTAATTTCATACATGTTACCATTTTTTCCATTCATTTTAACTGTTTGTTTTCTATTGGTTAAATAGCTTTTGAACCAGGTTAGACTACATTTAGTTATTCCAAAGCTGGGCAATATATTTAATAAAATATCGTGATCAACCATATCAAATGCCTTAGCTATATCTAAAAAGATTGCCAATGATTTTTCACTATTATCTAATGTGTTGTACAAAAACTGGGTAACTTTATGAAGGGCATTATCAGTACTCAACCCTGGCCTAAAGCCAAATTGGTTTTTTGATAAAAGTTGATTTTTTTCTAAGAAAGATATTAGTCTTGCTTTAATAATTTTTTCAAAAATTTTAGAATAATTACTTAACAAGGATATTGGCCTGTAGTTGTTCATATTTGTTTACCTACATAATGCTTCTAATAACAAAACTTTAGAACTACATGTTTAGATCATTCTCATTTAATTTGTAATATTATACGCATAATACACATATACATTTTTATATACATTTTTAACATGTACATGGCTACCGGTGAGTCATTTCGTTCGTTATCGTTTAGTTTTCGAATATGTCATACATATATCAGCAGAATTGTGAAGGAAACGTTACTGATTTTGAAAAAAAAATTACAACCTATATTTTTACCAGATCCAAGTGAAGTTGCCTTCAAAAAGAAAGCTAATGAATCTTGTTACAAGTGGAACTTTCCCAATTGCATTCTGGCCATTGATGGCAAGCATATTAGAGTTCGGAGTCCGGATAATTCGGGGTTATTATTTCATAACATAAAGATTTTTTTTCCGTCGTTTTGTTGGCAATGGTCGATGCTAACTGCAAATTTGTCGTGGTGGATATAGGCTCATATGGGAAAGAAGGAGACAGTGGTATTTTTCTCAAATTCATTATGGGCCAACAGATTTTAAATGGTTCATTTAGTTTTCTAGAGGAATGTTCTCTTCCAGGTTCTGATATAATTGTCCCGCATGTAATCGTTGGGGATGAAGCTTTTCGTCTACACACGCATATAATGAAACCCTACACGAGAAAATCAAGCAGAGACGATACTACAAAAACGGTATTCAATTATAGACTTAGCCGAGCTAGACGTGTGACCGAAAACGCGTTTGGTTTGCTAAGCCAAGTTTTTCGTGTTTTTTATCAACCCATTAATCTTGAGACCTCGACTTGTGACGATTTGATATGGGTAGCTTGTATGTTACATAACATGTTAAGGGATGGTTATTTGGAAAATAACAAACACCCATACTACGAATATGACCATGACCAAGACTTACCTTCCAACAGCATGTTACCTATACGTAGAGGAGGTGGATTTTTACAGGTAAACGGATTCGAGGTGAGAGAACGATTTAGAACATTTTTTAATAATGAAGGATCAGCATCGTGGCAGAGATAATTTATATACATTTTACACTTACTTATACATTTTCTTAATATACTAAACTAATATTTGTAATTAGGTAGTTATAATAATACAATGTATTTATGTATTAAACTATTGTCATATTATGTTAATTAAATACTATAAGAAAAACAAAACAGTTTAGATTTTTCTTAATAATTTTATTTTATGATTATGCAACACTATACTATAGAAATAAGTTGACAAATTTGTATATTATTATTTCTTGTTCTATTTTTTTTATTATTATTAATTATTATGAATTATTATGTAAAAAAAATGATAGAAATAAAAATTTTAAATTATTAAGTAACAAACGAAACAGTCTTTTTATTAAAATATTATAAGTACCTATTATAAAGATAGATATAAATTTAATCAATTTAACCTGCAATCTATCCTGAATTTAATTAGAATTATTGAAGTATGCCGGTGAAGATGTACTTTCAAAGTCGTTTGTAGGCGAGAATGTCATGTGCGATGGTGCGATGGTTTGTGGGTTGATCGATGTAGGGTATGAAATGGCAGACGATGAAGTTTGAGAACGGTCTGAGTCAGAGTATGAAATCGGCGATATGTTTTGTGGATTAGAAACTCCGTAGTAATGTTGTTGGTTTTGTTGGAAGTTTTGAATCGGAAAAAAACTAGGCGTAGTAATTTGAGGAGGATTAGCATATCTTTCTTGAAGTTCATTGACTAACATAAGTGTTTTCATTTTAGCTTCATTAATGCCTTTTGTCGGTAATTTTTTTACAGTTATAGCTATGCTTTTATAAAATAAATCAATGTCATCTTCTTGATTTTTATTTGTGTTTAAAAGTTGTTTGTTTTGTCGTTGAAAACTTTGAATAATAATGTTTCGATCTTCAGTTTTTTTTTGCTAAAATCGCTGCCAGCTTATCCGATTTTGATCTTACACGATTACCCGCAAATGAACACGTTGGTAATTCAACATTGTCGTCCTTATTTGAATTGTCAACATCAATCTCGTCGTCAGTATCAACACTTACATCATCATCTAGTGGCGTATCAATGTTCGATGTAGAACTAAAAATATTAATGAAACTATTATAGTTGCATATTTAAGTAAAACATATTTTTAAAAATAGCTATTTACTTTCGCTCATTGTCCACAGAGTTTAAAAATGATACGCGATCGGCCAAAATCCATTTTTTTTTTGATGATGCAGCAGATCCTGTTCCTAACTTTCTTTTGTTCCGATTATAAGTGTCTTTTATGTTTTTCCATCGCCTCTTGCAATCGTCAACTGGTATATAGATAAAGAAATAAATTAGGCATATTTTATATTGACATGTTGTTAAAATTATTTATAGATTTCTTTTTGCGATATTATTTATAAATATTTCTGAAATTAACTCAACATGCTTTTACACAGAAATAGAAACTTTGTTGTGTTCACTGTTCACGGTTTATTCAGAGTGTATTTTCCCACTATTCAGATTTCATAAATAATTGTTTGTATTATTTGACGTTATAATAAAATTGCTAATTTGATTGCAAATCACTTGAAACGAATTTATCACTAGCCTAAATTAATTAATCAAGTCACAGCAAAAATGTGTTACATTTACTTAGGTACACATTTACTTTACTGTTACATTTATTTACTATTGTATATACAAATACAAGCCCTAGAAATTACGCATATTTGGTCAAGTATAAATTTATAAACTATTTTATATAGTACCTAGGTTGATTATAAAATACTGGATTATTTAAATTATTCAAAAATACTTACCAGATCTTCCAACTTTTAAAGAAATATTTTTCCAGATATCATCCTTCAAAATTATATCCTTGTGGCTAGGTTTGGACAAATCATACAGTTCAGAATTATTTCGTACTTCTTCTATTAACTTTTCTTCTTGATCAGGCATAAAGACAACTTTGGAAATGTTTTGTGATTCGGCCATGGTATTTAAAATAATATAAAATAGTCAATACAAATAGCAAAAGCCGCTAGCGACTGTCGCTGTACACTGCTTTCGACTGAGTAGAGCCGCGGGCCGCAGCGGCCCATTCATAGTCGCAAAGCCGCAATCCCTCATTGGACACCAGTCCATAGGAATTACGTAAAAACAGTGTGGCCGCGACAGTCGCGGCGGCTAGCCGCGCCTTGGACACCATACCTTAACACTAATAGATCTTGTAATATCATTTTGCGCTGAAATGAAATTGTAATATTTTATGTAAAAATGATGTGTCGTCGTTTTGCAGATGTGAATAATAACTAAAGTCATAGTTTTGAATATATTGGTTTGTAAATTCATTCCTCTGACAATTGACGGGAAGACCCCTGACATCGTTTTTAATCCATTCGTTAGCTGTGGTAAATGTAGCTGGTAACTGGGTAATCGCTGTCTGGATATCGTTTGGACATTTTTGGAAATTCATTTAAAAAAAAAAATTATAACTTAAAAAAACAGTTTAATGAAACGATGACAAAGTTTATGACCACGAAACACAACTTCAACAAATAGCTTATCCTCAGTAATTGAATATAAAAAAATTATCCGCTTTAAAAATGTATTTTTTGATAAAAATATATACAGTGTAACCAACATGTGTAAATTTTAAATTCCATGGATGAGCTTGCTGCGAACGAACAAATCAATTTTTATCATGAAAAATGAATTATTCCACATGTTCTCCTGGTACCCTTCATAGTTTGTTTTAAACCTTAGAGCAACCGCAATCGATATAAACAAAAAGCGCTATCTAGCAGTAAAATAACGGATGAAATCATTGGTTATGAAACCGCTAATCGTTTTTAAATTATCCTGTAACAGTAAAAAACTTGGATAGAAAGCACCCACAAATCTGATCGCTCAAGCGGAAAAGTCGTGAACAAACGTTTTTTAATCTCCCTGTAATTGTAAAAATCGGTACAGAACCGACATATTATGCCTACTGTCGATGTGTTGCAATCATGAACATAATTTAATGATATAAAAATATGTCCGAGATAAGAAAACTGCCCCGTTACCCCGCGACCCGCGTACCATCCCAAGCCACACGCGCCTGTTAGAAATCATAATGGGCTTTCAAACAAAGTAAGTTAATTTTAGCCGTGTGCTACCGATGAATATTAATAATATTGTTGCGGGCCTTGAGACTCTAGGCGCCACTATTCGATATATAATAACATAATATATAATATAATATAATATATCATAATGTTATTATGGCCTTAAGCCAAATATATATAATTAACATAAATATCGCAACAATATAATATAGAACATGTAATATTCGCCCCTATCCATAAATCACTGGACAGGTGCACGATTAGAAATCATGGACACGAGTCCCTATTCTAAGAATTGACAACAACTATCGAAACACACACACACACACAAGCTGCACGCGCCGCTACAATCAAAGGAACCGCCACCACTTATAAGGGAGCCCGCGGGACAGCCTGGGCAGATGTATCATAGCCACGGAGACCTGAGCAACTTCTCGTCACACGCGCACACGCTATTATACTATTACTATATTTTCTGCTAAATAAACATAATTCTACAGTTCAATTTGGTACTTGTTGATTTGTCTCTAAAGCTTTTGGCTTTTGGAGCCTTTGAGATTACGCACACAACAATATTATTATTTTTATTATTTTTAAAACTACGTGTTTAGACATGGATAATTTGTATCAATAATATAGCATAGGCCTACCAAACAATCCACGACTCGCGTCATTATCTAATATCTTCCCTGCAGTCATTGTGCATGGGCTGCGGATTACCGACTTATTACAGCGATTTATTAATATTACTGCAGTTTTACGTAATTTATAATTGTATACATATAATTATAAATATTTATTAAAAATCAAAATGACATCAACAAGATCCAAAAAATTGTTGGAAATGGTAAGACCAGTGGGTACCACGAATCAAGCCAATCAAGGTTAGATAATACTCAAAATATTTCAATTTATTGATGTACCTACGAAATTATTTGTGTTATTTTGTTATAAATTTACAAATTGATTGTGTGAACGATTGGCATCACGCCAAGTAAATCGGCGATGGTGCACAGTGGAATGAAACCCATTTCTAGCTTGCCAAAAGTGAATTTTTGAAGTTTTTCATGATTATAAGTTATTTTTTCCTACTATGTTTGTGATCTGTTAATAGTCATAAAAATAATTTTGTGATCTGTCGGCTTTGACTCAGGGGTGAATTGGCAGATCGAGAGATCGGGACGTTTCCCGATGGGGCGGTCGAATAATCAAATTATGGGGCAGAGCAGTTTGGTTATATAAGTAATTTATTACAATTTTTATATTAAAATAATAGTTTTTTATATTATGGTCTATATAAAATCTATAAAATAGACAAATTTGGGTCACTTTAAAAAAAATCCCAGGGCCGCTCTGAAGGAGCCAGCCAGTCCGCCCCTGCTTGGACAGCGTAATATTATGTAAATTTGTTTCATATTTTAATTCGGTAGTAAGAAAGAGTTAATTTGCCCACCGAATTTGAGAGGCATTCATTAAAAGATTCACGACGCACGGTTACTGAATTGATTGGACATGTAAATTACACTCTGTATGTACAATTTGAGTTATACAGTCTTAGAACACTTAAATTGATGTGCAATATAATGTAATTGATTTAAAATATAAAATTTAAAAACTGTACTCCCCCCCTTACTGACCCTCGAATTTGGTGTTGAACCAAAACACTGATGCAAAATTTGGATTCGGCATTCTTAATATTTATAGGTTAAATTGGTCGCACAATTATAATATGTAGCATATTTTTAGAGTTATGAATTTATGTAAGTTAGAAATGGTTTTCATTCCACTGTGCGGCGGCGACACAGTTTTTAAGAACTTTAATAATTTATTGAACTTTTTTGACATAGATATGAATACAAATGCCAAGAATAAAACCATACAAATCAATTATAATGTTGATTCACCAGGTATTAAATAATTTTATTTTTTATCCAATAATGGTTTTAAAATGTTAAATATATTTTATTTTAGTGGAATTCAAAGTGAGAAAATTTTTGTAATCTCAAGGCAGTATGGAGACAGAAAATTGTCAATATACAGGTAAAATTAAAAATATTATGTAGTTGTATAAGTTAAATATCTTAAAAATTAAAAACTGTTATATTATGAAGGAACAAATTTGTGTCCTTCCTATATTTAAAATTTTAAAAAATTGATTTAATTTTCGTTTCACAAATAAAGTTTCTACATAAAGTAAATATAACAATATGATATTTAATGTTGATGTCCCCAAAAAGTAAGTTTGTGGAGGAGATACAGAGTTCAATACTTACATAATATACCGAACAATAAATGTACTTGTAAAGAAATGAGTAAGATATACAATATATGAATTATAGTATAAAACTAAGTATAAAAAAGCGGGTAAGTGGGTAACGGACTAATGTACAGGAGGTTCAAGTGGATACTGGGTCACTCGGTCACTGTAATGTATACGAAAAATGATTCTGAGCGGAGATGGTTTGTCAGCCTAGAATATTTTATATTATGTTTTTATTGTTGTTATTAGCTGTGTTTGATGTGGAACAGCTATCAAATTTTATGGGGCACTCCAAAGAATCACACAAATCGTTTTATAGATTGCCTGATAGTGTATTTCAAATTGCTAAAGTTAGTAAATTCCTACTAATGATGGAAAAAGGTGAAGTTGACCAATATCGAGGAAAGAATTTTGACGAAATTGACGTGAATGTTGAAGGGCTTGTCTCGGAAGAAAGTGACAACGAAAACTCTGATATCAGTGATTTGGAAGATAACGATGAAAATCAACAGGATCCAGAATCAATGACTGATCAACCGACTGCAATACTTCATTCAACTACCCCTAATACCGAAAGACAAGTAAATGAATTGAAGAAAAAAACAAAAACCTTCTAAAAAAATAAAACTTTCGTGAAGATACTGATATACATCTGTTTGCTGGATTAATATACGTATTTCATCGTTATTATTTAATGATTTAGTATACGGTGTATATGAATGATATTCAATTTTTGTTATTTTAGAATCTGTTTCGTACCGTGAATTTATATCTAAAATATCATTCTCAGGCATTTTGCTTTAATCGATAACCCAGGGCTTGTAAAATTCTTTTATTTTTCACCGTCAATCTTTTTACTTTATTCGATGTTACCGGTATCACATTAGTCTTATGACTAGTTGAACTGATCCGAAGATGCGGGTTTATATTGAATTTTAATCCCATCTCAAGACTCGTAACGTTTAATATGCAAAACAACCGTTAATGTCTCGCCAAAATTATTAATCAGATTATGATCTTGATCAACTAGCTGAACGGTTATCGAGTCGATATTTGTTTTATTCAATTTATAATATACTAAATTTGGTGGTGACTGAATTACTTTTGATCCTGTCTTTTCACTCGGGAAAAACTCGAAAATTGAATGACTTTGAAGATGATTACTGAATCCTTGAGCTATATTACACATTACTTTTATAGAATTAATTGTGTTTAAACTTATAGCTTTTTCCGATCGACGCGCTTCATGCATTGGTTCATAGGCTCGTTTTTCAAACCCAAAAACAGATGCTATACTGTTTGAAACATCAAACATTAGTATACCATTACATTTAATGTATGTTCTATAATCGATGTGATCAATAGATACATTGAATAATAGCTGTGTCTTATATTTATTATTAAAGTGAAATAACTCTTTTGTAATTTTATTGTTAATATCTTCTATTTAATAACATCCTTCTTCCAAAATAAATATAAACATAGCCAAGGAACTAAGAGAATCAGACATAAAACGAAATGTATCAATAAATTTTATTTTTAAATTTATCTATAGTTGTTTTACTCAATGAAATATATTTTTCTGCCGAATTATTTTTTACATGAATATCATTTTCATTACAACC